CACCACCCCACCACCACCCCAGCTTCCACCTGTAAGCTCGGGGGGTTAGTTATTTAATCATCACTCATCGTGCTATGTATATCTGTGGAGTAATAAGGCCCGAGCCTAGTCGTCAAACTCAACTATATGCTGCTTCTTATAAATATGTTAAAGAAGCATGTCAGTTGTCTGACTGAAATATGTATGTGCTTTCCTAAAGGAGGTGTATACAAACGGGTTTAAATTCAGCTTATATGCCATTGATAAAAATACAAAAGACGTCGTGCAAAAACTTTTTCACATACTGTAGTTACAGAGGCTGGTAGTTTTAACCACCTTGACTACATGAAAAGTCACTGAACGTTAGTGTCTTTATTTGAATGCAACAGAGCATGAGAGGTGGTGGGCCCAGAAATCAATTCCACAAAACAAGACACAATGAGCAGTGTGCTCACAATGTGCATCAATATAACAGACCTGTGATTCACAGCATGTCAAAGAAGCATAGAAGCATAACAAAGAAAACATAGACCTTTCTAAAAAGAGGTTTACTTGTCGCTGTATTCTATTCAGGCTGTCATCGGTTATTGCCAAGACTGCACTATTGTTATTTCTGGCATTCTGACATGGTGCACAGATGATGATATTTTCTTTCTTTCTTTACAATATTTGTATTGAAATTTTCAAAAATAACGAACATTACAGATACGTAAAACGGTCAGTCTAGGTGGCAGATACAGTGTAAAACCAATTGAATAGACATGTAACTAAACACAGGTCAGTATACAGATGATACATAAATAACAAAGTACAGAAATCTGAAAGAATACGACGTGGGCTACTACACTTTATAATTGTATTCCCGTTGCCCCCCCTCCCACCCCGGTCTTTGGTTTTATTGATCACTACCAATTCTTTGACTCAATGAAGCTCCCCCAGATATTTTCTAAAACTGCCAGCTTTCCTTTAGTAATGTATGGTAGTTTTTCTAAAGCAACACATGCTGACAGATCCTTAATATATATTCATACTTGGTTTGTTCACATTTTTCCATTCTATAGCTATTGCCCTCTTAGCTTGTAAAAGACACAAGTTTATACGAAAAATTCATGTTATTTGTGACACCTGCTCTGGGACAAAGTTTGACCAAATGTCCGTGAAAAAATGGCTGTTTGTCAGATGAATAATCGCTCTTCAACAGCTTCTTGTTTTGTCATGGCTAACAAAATATGACTGTGGCAGCGGGGTGTGGTTTGGGCGCTGGCTGCTGGAGTGAAGGGAGTGGCTCGGCCGGAGGCCAGACAGCTGATCGGAATCAGGTAATCAGTGCAGGAAGAAAAGCATGTCGTAACCTGGTTCTGTTCTGTTATGCAGTAGGCGGGATCCTGGAAGGTCGCCAAAGGACCTGTGAAGTTTCCCACCCGGGCAACGTTTGAGACCCGTGCATATTATTGTTTGGAGTTAATAAACGCCTGTGTTTCACCAACCTGCTCTTTCCGTCCTGATTTGAACCCTGTGTGAGCGGAGAGGCTCACAATGCCATAATCAAAATGAAAAATAAAGACAACTAGACATTCAATTCGGGGAACAAATACTGAAATATAAAACATTTCATTAGCAAGAAACCAATCCCTTTAATAAGTATAAGAATAAGCTCAAAATAGGAGAATGGTAAAATGAACATATAAGCATATTGTATTCAGTGGATTTCTACAAGTCAGTGGCCTCTGGATCTTCAGGTCAGCCTCTGCACTGGAAGCCACTGGCCCAAGAATCCTGCTTCACAATGGTTTTAGATTTAGGGTCATATGTTTAGTACAGTTCTTGCAGAAAGAATGATATTTGTTTTTTGCTTAAAAATATATACTTGAGTTATTGAAATACTGCATCATACAAAAAAGTCACCCAAAAAAGATCTAAAGAAGGAGAGGGATGTTGCCCACTGTAGACAAACCAACACAGGGTGCAAATGATGGATTTTAAAATGTTGAAAGAATTGTTTTAAATAAAATAATAAGTAAAGGTATTATCTCGACGAAAGATGTAATAGAAGACTTTAAAGGTGTTTCATTTTCACATTTAAACATGAAATACATAACGCAGTAGTTCTATTCCCTTCTTGTGGCACTGATGTGGGATCACTGGATCATTTCTGATAAGAAGAGGAAAGGACAAGTTGTATATCATATGTATCTGTATAATATTAAACAGTTATTTCATTTGTACTATATATAGTAAGAAATTAGAGACGTGCACGTCCTGATAAGTACTGCAGCTCTACTGTATCTGTTTGTAGTTCTACTGCATTTCTATTCTTTCATTTTATAGAAGTTACAGTGTAGGGGAATGTATATAATTATTTTCTGCAAAACAATCTTTAAATACAATGCATCTGAAACAATCAGTTTCTAACCAAATCTATAATCTGAGGGAAAAGCCAGAATGAAAGTGAAATCAAATATCTAGTGATAAAGGCAGACATGGTAAGGACAGTCAGTTCTAACTGACTGACTTTGTATGAGCGAACAGAGAAGAAAGAAATCTGATGTCTAATATGCGACAAAAAGTACATGTGCACTCAAACACACACACACACACACACACACACACACACACACACACACACACACACACACACACACACACACACACACACGAGTGCGCAGTCTATTGACCAGTATTTGTCACTTGCTATATATTTAGCTGGGAGCGAGAGGGAGTTGGAGTTGGCGGCGCTCGGGCTTTTCTAGCTGCGAGTGTAAAGCCAGCCAGTGTTCACTCCACTTTGTCAATCCCCTGTCAACTTGTAGCTCTGAGACATATCCTCTGCAACACACAAGAGACAGGCCCCCCCTCCACCCACATCCCTGCCTGCTGCCCACCTCCAAATACAGAGCCACCAGGAAATGGCCGCTACCGCTACCGCCCCCCACCCCCACCACCCAGCCTACTGACAAAAGCCTGCTTGGCGTCTCCATCATCCTCCTGACAGCCGAGGGAAGACAGCTTGGCTGCATCTCTCTTCCCCGTTCCACACACAACATGTGGCCAACACTCAGGATACTGCGGCTCCTCTTTTGGCTGTGATCACATTTTTGTCACTCACCCTGCTTTCACTTCAAATTGGATTTTGAGGTTTTGAAAGTATGAAAGAGATAAAAGATCAAGGAAAGTCTTGTATTTGTTCAGAAGCATTCCACAAGCTGATATATTATTGGTACTATGAGTATTCATGTATCACACTCCATTGCACCTTCTCTAGCTTTTATAAACATATAAAAACGTATGCCATGTAGTTCTTTTCAGTTTGACAGACTTCCATGAGCATAAAGGTCCGGCCTCCTGCCTGTGAGCCGGATGGACCTCTGACTCTATGGGTCTCCATCGGTAAGCAGCTAAACAACATAATAGCTGCACATATCACAACATACTATATCAAATATGAATCTCTCTGAACTAGATCCTGCTATGGTATATATCATTATTTTCAAAACCATTTGAACAGGGTTTTGTAGATTGCAGTGCCTCTGTTATCTGCAGAATATTTTCTTAATCTCACTTTAAAGTCTCACATTTCTAATAAACTGAGTGGTACAATTTCCCAAAATAAGAATATTTATTCATTATATCTAAGTATAATTACTAAGCCAATATAAGGCTGCAACTAAAACATTTAGTTTAGTTTAGGTTACAGTAGGTTCATCTTGTGTTAAAAACCTCATACACATATTCAATTTAATATTACAAAAACAAGAAAATGTCTTCCCTATTTTTTGCTTTAAGTATTACTTAAAAATTAATTATCAAAATAGTAACAAATTACTGTTCTTTCACCTTACTAATTTATAACAAATGACCTCTGCAAAATGTATATCTTAACAACATGTATGTCTCAGCGTGCATGCTATCTTCTTTATGCTACAAATGGTTTGCATTCAAACAATGCTACATTTTAAAATAAATGAATAATATTTATTAAAAAATTAAATGAAATTAATATGTGAAGATATCAGTGTTTTTAGTGTCCATCAGCCCCATGGTAACAGGAGAGAGACAGCAGCAGAGACTGCAGGTTCATACAGTTCCTCTCATGAAGCGGTGTGTGTGTGTGTGTGTGTGTGTGTGTGTGTGTGTGTGTGTGTGTGTGTGTGTGTGTGTGTGTGTGTGTGTGTGTGTGTGTGTGTGTGTCGTGCGTGTGTGCGTGCGTGCGTGCGTGCGTGCGTGCGTGCGTGCGTGCGTGCGTGCGTGCGTGCGTGCGTGTGTGTACAGTTCCTCTCATGAAGCGGCTGCCTGCACACTGTAGTGCTGCCTCTGCCCGTTAAACACTCTGATCCACTGTTGGTGTTTCACATCACACTGTAACACTTGTATCTTGTAGGAACCACTAAAGGGAGCTTACCTGCACCAGTACGAAGAATCTTTTCTTCCATCTTTTCCACACATTTTTGCCAATGGTCCAAAGGTACCTGTGAAATCAAACAAGCACAAAAAAAACTAAATTAGAAAGAAAACATTTTCAAATAGATTTCTTATTGTGGCCTTATTTCAGCTGTAAATGAAACCGATTGTTAGCCATGCCTATGAAAAGATACGTAGAGTGGTGCCTCTCTGACCTCTGCTGGTCAAATGTCATTACTGCAGCCAGACACATCACGTTTAGGCATTTCATCCCAGCTACAGCTCATTGATTTTCATTAGTATTTTGTGTCGAGATGACAGACCTACGTTCAAATAAGTACATTTCATAAAAGGAAAAGGAGATATTGAAGTGACAGCAAGAATGTCACTGTTATGCTGCATGGCCACATTACTGGATCTGGGACATCTAAATGGAATGCAGCCATCATTAATGTTACATTGTAACCCAATCACAAAATATCAGCCTCATGAACTGGAGAGTGAAGGCTCTGAAGAACAGATGAAGTCACACCAAATGGAAAAGAGCTCTAAACTCAGGGCTGCATACAATGTGCACATGCTCATGGAGCTATTGCACAGAAGTGTGACTGAACTGAAACAAAGCTGTCGTTTTGTACGTTTCTTTTTGGTAAACTGATCAATGATCATAAACAGAGGTCAGTCGCTGCTTCCTAATTTATATTGTGCAGTATTTTGAAAATCATTCACATTATCTTGATAACAATAACCATAGTCGTTTTAGGGATAATTAAGTGACAACAACAAGTGATGTTGATATGAGGGCTTAGGCAGAAGCATTCATTAAGTGAGAACAGATGTACTTAATCTAGCAATATGAAAGTGCTAATATGTAACCCATGAGTCATATTGCTGGCATATTGTCCAAATAGGTTAAAGAAAAGACACAAGTTACTTTGCTAATGAAATATCTGGGCGGCTGTAACTTAGCCTTTCAGTTATTAGCTTGGAAACTGGAGGGTCCTTGGTTCAAGTCCCCGAACAGACCAAGCAGGGAGTGTGGACTGGTACCTTGAGAGGTGCCAGTTCACCTCCTGGGCACTGCTGGGGGGCCCTTCAGCAATACACAGGACCCCCACAGTGCACGCCGGGTGGTGCATAGTAGCTGCTCACTGCTCCTCATATGACGACTAAAATGCACAGTCACAGTATGTGATGATTAAATGATCCTCCATCTGTAAAGTATGTATCTACATCTGCAACCTGCAGGTATTAGTTTTTCTAATCCAAAACACATTGTTCATGGTTAATCATTTTAGATTTGTTGAAATATTTTAAAGACTGTCAACATCAATTCAGCATGTATGTATCACTGAAAACATTGACATCTCAACTCTGTTTAAAAATAAAAGTTACAACAACAATATAGAGGTGTGGCATTAACAAAAACATTGTAAAAATGTTGACGCCAACTACAGAGAAGTACATTAGGCATGCGCTTGGGATATTTTCACTTCAGCCCAATGCCTGTCACTTTCCTCCCTTCAGACAGACTGTACAGCTCAGTGCAGCAGTCCTCACAGATCTCCTCTGCTCTTCCTCCAGCTAAGCCCGTCTCCTCCTCAGCCAGTGTGGAGTTCAGTGTTGAGAAGGACGGGGAAAGGGATTTTGTTGTAAAAGAACATCTGAGGGTTGATTTGCCTCTGTTCTCCCACCAGCCCCCTCCCCCCTCGGTGTGCCTCAGTGTGCCTTTCCCCCCGGCCCCTCCCTGAGCTGCTCCTGCCTGTCGTCCTAAATAAACCAGCATCCACAGGCTGACACATGAGGGCCCTGCATGTGTGGAAGCAGAGAGAGGGGCCAGTAATGGTGCAGCAAGGCACTGTGGGAATCTAACAGGTAGCCCAGCAGCCTCCTCCAAGGCTCCCAAAAGGAAGCATATGGAGGGGGGGGCAGACAGGAGAGTCTGTAGCTCACAGCTACAGGCTTACAGTAGGAGCATGTTTTTTAAAGCAGTAAGTGTGTGCACAATAAAGAACACAGCCTCCTGACACATGGCTGGAATTTATTTTCCAGTACGGACCGCCACTGAAGGCCAACAGTCATTACATTCACTCTATTGCAAATGCTTTCCAAGGTTATAGTTGCTGCTTTCTCAACTGTATATTTGCATAGGCAGTAGGGACATGCACAGACATGTTGGGGGGCGGGAGCTCAAGTGAGAAAAAAGGCACTTCCCATAATCATTTATAAAAAAAATATTTTAAAACAAAAAGTTAAATATAGTTGCACATCTCTGACTTACTGACCAATTTATTTTAATACCCTCACACTCACGTAATTGTTTAATACTCAGCAGAATTCTACAAAATAATCAGCTAACACAGAGACAATGGTCTTCCTTAGTATTCACTACGCACAAGAGCAGACAAAAAACTAGTACAATTAATAGTTATTAAATGAGCAGCCAACAATCAACATGATGAAGTTACTGTTTAAGGACATTACAGGCACACATATCCTCTTTTCATGTACTGGTCTATTTTGCTTCCATGTTTTCTTTCACTCTAAAGGAAATAAAACTTCCAAGAAACACATATGTTCGTTTTACTACCATGTCTGAATTCCTCTATAGATTTAAAGCTATCTGCATTTAAACATATATCATTTCAGGGGGAAATACTGACTTGACGTAAGTAACTATCTTGGGAAGTTGTGAGGTGATGTGTTTTTTTCCAGTATTTATTCCATTTCCTTGATATCAGACAGCAGCTGCCTACACTAGTTGGCTCTTTGATTTCACTTGTTAGATATATGGACAAACTAGTTAGACACTCTGCTTTAATAGTTAAATAAAATATTACACTAGTTGCTCTTTTTCAGCAACTAGTGGCACTTTTGTCCAACTAGTTACCACGTATGCCTTACTAGTGACGCCAGGAGCAGCACTAGTAACGCCAAAGTCCCAACTTGTAAGCTTTTTGATGAACTAGTGGCCCTCTGACCGTACTAGTGACGCTAAAAGTCTTACAAGTTAACTAGTGCGCTGCAAAAGCTCTGACATGTTAACTAGTTACACAAAATAAGCACAACTAGTTAACTAGTGGCATACATTTGTCTGCACTAGTTAACTAGTAGCACCCACAATCACTCACTAGTTAACTAGTAAAGGCAAAAGGTTAACTAGTTTACTAGTTGATGCCTCTTTTCACCTTACTAGTTAACTAGTGGGGCTCAAAATGTCTACACGTTAACTAGTGAACCCTTTGCCTTTTACTAGTTAACTAGTGAGATACGTTTAAATTCCACTAGTGAACTAGTGAGGCTTAAAATGTTCACTAGTAGTACTAGTGGATCCCAAATGTGCACTAGTCGCACTAGTTGCACAGAATGCTAATGAGGAGGAGGGGAAAGAACGCATCGAGGTCCCCTATTGGCCCTAAGCTATAGAGCGCCACCCAGCCAAAATAGTTTATTTAAGAGCTTAAATACACTGTGTTTTAAAATACAGTCATACAACCATATTTACACAAATATAAAACAAAAGTATTTGTGTAATTATGATCATATGACTATATCAAATGAGGTAATAACATTGAAGATTTTGTTAAAATTAGAAACTTGCCTTAGGACTGCAGACAGGAATATCGATCCTCTTTAAAA